CCTTGCGTGGTATAACGTTCAATTCCGATGAGGCTGTAAATCAGCACCTTGTTTAGTTTTTCGCAAATAAAGACAGGTCCTTCTATGAATGAGGAGTTATGAAGCTCACTGAAAGGTGGCAAAAGGTTATCGAACAAAACGGGCAATATATCATTGATTAATCTTTGTTCTTTATATAAATAAATGACCTTTGAAAAACATAGACAAAATACGTCATGACTTTTCTGAAGACCCAATACTAAAATAGGTACAAATACGTACCATATTTCAATGTATTTGACCTTTCCATATCAAATAAGAATAAGTATTTCTAACAGTTGTATACATTTTTAATGCCATCATTGTTCATTGTTTTTTATTTAATTAAGTAAAAGTCCAGTAGACATACTCATGTGGGTATTCTCACCATTCGCACCCCTCTGCCTTTCTGTGAAACCAGGCATGCGCCTTCCTGGACTATATAACCACACCAGCATATGGCCAAACAAATGGATGCTTTTCACCTTAGGGGGAAGCTGCTACTTGGAGGAAGAGAGATATATAATATAATATAATAATAATACTTAGTTTTGACAATTTAAATTTGTCACTTTTACGTATGTACAGGTTATTCTTTACTGCAACATTCATAACAGCAAAATATTAGAAATAATCTAAGTGTGCATCAGCAAAGAGAATGAGGCATCAGTAAATATTACTGATGTGGAAGGCTCTTCAGGATGTAGTTAGGTGGAAAAAATAGTGCAGAACAGTGAATATACTATGCTACCATTTGTTGGAGGGAAAAGTGTGTGTTTATACATACATGTGTGCATATACTTATGTAATCAGGGAATATCAAGAAATCTTTAGAAATGTACTCAAGAAAGTGGTAACTGGTAAGCCCCTTGTAGAGGAACTGTTAAGATTAGGAGATAGACTTACTGTTATAAACTCTTGTACCATATAAATATACAAAAATATCCAAAATAATAATGAAGTTTTATAAAATAACATGGCAGTTATGAGGAGAATTGGTCAGCTTTTGGGTTGCTGCAGCTGAGATTGTTCATTTTTCTTGGCGCAAAAATAGAAAGTGTTTGCTGGATAATAAGTTTCATGATTTCATCAGTAAACTAAAAGTATTCATCAGAACCAAAATTAAACTACCAAACTGATTTATTTAAAAATCAAAACAAAATCCAAAAAGACATATTTTTCTGTCGTAGATCTTCCACTCCAGCTGAGATAATAAAATGGTGTAAGGGTCATCCAACTGTTAGCTTTTGGGCTAAGGTCAGCACAGTTGTTCTGTCTTGTTGCTGTCTCCTTCCTACCGCACTGCTTCTTGCGAGTTCTGCCCAAAGCTGTGTAACCGGAAAAGGGCTTTCCAAGCAAGAAGATAATCTTCAGTCAAGTGTGTATAAAATGGCAAACACATAGAACAATTAAGAAGATTTCATGGCTAATTTGCATTTTTTCGTGAAGTAAAGCTCAAAGGTAATTTGTTGAGATTTTGTTAAATTTATAACCAACACTGAATCTGACCCACCGAACTGGAATTGACACAGATTATGCTTGTTTCATTTTGTATGCCAAATACTGATATGACAAATTAAAGTTTAATTAAAGTTCACCATAATAAAATTATTTCACATAACAAATATATGTGGAAATCATTTTAACACTTTCGTAAATTCCTTATAATTGGAAGTAACCCAAATTAGTAAGATTAAAATTTATTTATGAAATGTTTCCTAAAATATCTCAGAATATTTCTAAGTGTAATTATTTCTAAAACTTGTTTAGGTGGTTTAATACCACTATCACAAACAGGAAAGCCAAGGTTAGTGAACAGCTAGATAAATGATCAGAATTCAGACCTTCTCTTTTAATACCTGGGTTCAGATAACATGTACTGTTTCTTAGCTTAACTAAGTATTTTTCTGTGAAATGTAGTTTCTGTAGCACCTTGTTGGGGCATTGACATCTTAGTCTTAGAAGAAAAGATTAACAGAATAAACAATGAACTCCTTTTTCTCTGGGAGGATATGTAGACACAGATACGCATTTACAGCTAAAGAAGTTTATTTCAGCAGGTCCTTCCTTGTTTTTTTCCCCTCCCTTCAGACGATCTTATATTTTATGGCATTGGGACCGGGGAGTTCAGCTATCTGCCACATGTCCATGGCATGGTTCAAGAGGGAAACTATTCTGATATAAAGTACGCTTCGTGTCAGTAGAACATGAAGGGTTTATTCCTTTTGCATGTTGGCCTTATCTTAGGAAGAACAGAGTGCTCAGCCCTCATGCTATGCGGAGGGCAGGCTTCACACCACATTTCTGAACCCGAGGCCTAGGAACACCAAACTTTGATAATCTCCATGTCTTTTAGAAATGGAGAAGTAAGCTCTTATGATGATTTCTTCATTCGCTTCCATGAATCAAATGAGTGATCTTTGGTCTTATCTGTCTGCTGTGATCTGTTCCTTTGGGAGGCTTCCATACTCATTCCTAGGAAATCCCTGAAATACGTTCTGCCTTGAAGGTGGACTTGTGTGTACTTTATTAGTTCTTTTTAACTTTTTAAAGTTAACACTAGGAATCAGGTATTAAAGATTAAGCACGTCATGGTCTAAGAAAATAACTCGCCAAGTGTCCTTTCTCTGCACATTCCTGTTAAAGTCTACACGGAGAAGTTTCCCAGCCAGATGGCTTCGCTCCCTTCTGGGCACCCCGCTTAGCCCTTTCCTCTCGGCTTCCTCCTTTCCCAAGAGCTGCTCTGCAGAAGACGCTCCATTTGGCATGCAATACACATGACATAAGAGAAATTACCCCACATATTTCCAAGGTCACTGTAAGTTATCTCAGAAGACAAATGTGATATCACAGACAATTTTTGATACATATCTCTTCTTTGCTTTCATTTTGTACTAGAGAGAAGAACTGGCTTAGAAATGTGCATATATTACTAGGTGAAACTATAAAGACCCTAAATGCCCAACAGTATAGAATGCATTAAACAGCCTTTCAACTGAATATTATGCAGCCAGTTAAACTTAGATTTTCGAATAATATTTAATAACATAAAAAATGTTTATATGATGGTGATAGCTAAAATTTATTGGGTGTTGATTTTTTGCCAGGCAGCTTTCTCAGTGCTTGTATTGAATCATTGGGTTAATCCTCACAGCAGTCTTAAGGGGAGAAAGAATTGTTCTCAATTTAAAGGTGAGAAAACTGAAGGTCGGAGCTGTGCGGTGGTTTGCTGCCTACACTTAGATCGCTGGTGAGAGGCAGAACTAGAATGCAGACCCAGGCAGTCTGGCTCTAGAGCCCTTGCTCAGGCATCATTACAGGCAAAAATACCAAAGAAGAATCTATAAAACGTTTTCTGGAACTAGACAAAATGGTTTTAATTCATCTCATAAAGAAAATGTGTTAAAGATACCCTATCAAATTTTGATAAAGCAGAATTAGTGGAGGGGAAAGATAGCACGTCCTACCAGATATCAAAATACACTCTAAGACAAAGTGACACCATATTGTAGCAGACAGAGAAGAAATAAGAAGAGCGTGCACTTGTTACGTTCATAGGCAGAGGCTGAAAGGATGCACCTAAATATTAACAGTGGTTATCACTGTTCAGAGGGATTTACACATGATTTTTCTTTTTTTTCAGGTTATTTACAGTGAACATTTTTAAATCATGATATTAGCAAGTTTATTTTTAATGTTTTTAAAACTTCAGGTTTTAGCAATATTTTATTGGTGCAATATGTATTACTGTTTGATTTTATCTATAGTATACCCTGCATTTTCTGAATTGCTTGCTCTGCAAAGTGAATTTTCTAAAATGTTTTATATATAATAATTCATTTATTCAGGGTTTAAATGAACCAATCACATAGAATCACCAATCCAGTCCTTCTTTTTGGTAAACATGGAGAAAAGGCACTGGGATAAAAATTCTCTTCTAGTCTAGGGTTAAAGAGGAGGATTTCAAAATTTTTACTTATTTTCAAAACCTGAAGTATTTATTGATAGTTTAAAGAAAAAAAGTGTGTGTGTGTGTGTGTGTGTGTGTGTGTGTGTGTGTGTGTGTGTGGCTTCTGTCTGATCACCTTACTGAACTGTATTGTAAGTTGTAATAGTTTTCATTTGATTCTATAGGATTTCATTAACAGATAATAACTGCTTTTCCTAATATTTATGGTCTGTACGTTGTGTAACATCCCCATAAATGGAATAGTTATGAAAAAGGATGAGTAGTTCTTACAGTAACATGGAAAGATGGGCCTGTGTATCCGAAACTGAAAAAAATATGAGTTACAGAGTCCTGTGTATAATATAGTCTTTAAAAAATAAAAACAAGCATTGCACAAAATGCTTAATTTGAGGAGATTACCTCTCCCCCCCCCACCCCCCCGAATTCCAGTACAAATTTAGGTGCCTGTCTTAGTTTGCTCAGACTGTCATAAGAAAATACCATAGAAAATAACTAGCCAAGTATCCTTTCGCTGCACTTAAACAACAGAAATTTATTTTCTCACAGTTCTGGAGGCTGCGAAGTCCAAGATCGAGGTGCTAGCTGATTTAGTTCCTGATGAGAGCTCTCTGGCTTGTAGCAGAGCCTTCTTACTATGTCCTCACATGGCAGAGAGAGAAAAGGGGGGTGAGGTGCAGGGAGATATCTCTCTTCTTCTCCTTACAAGGCCATAGTCCTATTGGATTAGGGCCCCACTTCTGTGACCTCAACCTTAAATACCTCCTAAAGACTATCTCCATATACACTCAAAGTGGGGGATAGGGCTTCAAAAGGAATTTGAGGGGTACACAATTCAGTCCATAGCTGTGCCTAAACTTTTTTTTACCCCAGTAACCTTCAGATAGCTTACGTTTATTTTATTTCAACAGAGTCAGTTTTATCCTTTCTGATGACATGCTTAAGGCATTTGTTACTTTACAGTATATCATAGAAACTTGATCTCAGTTTAACCTTATTAATCATTTCATCGTAGACACAAAATCGAATGAAGCTAATGGCCGACAACTATGAGGATGACCACTTCAAATCCTCCCATTCCAATCAAAGCAATCACAAACCCTCCCCAGACCAGGTAAGACTGCACGTGAATGTTTCATAAAAACCATATGCTTATAGCTTGATGTATTTTCTACTAGCATATTACAAGTTTTGGGGTATAAGTTAGAAAACTAAAATTAAATAATCAGTTTCTAAAAACTTCACTTTAAAAAGAAAACAGATAAAATTTCTGTATAGGAAGGTGCCGGATGACTGAATGTTTTAAGAGGAGAGATTCAAAAGATATGAGGATGATAAATGATCCTTGAATTGGGTTGAGAAAAAAATAACTTAATCTCAGAGATGCTAAGAAGATTTGTAACTGTCTTGCTTTTGTTATGAAAGAAATAATGCCTTATTAGAAAAATATGACTCCTTCCGTGTGAGTTCAATGAGGCACAATTCAGTGTAGCGGTAACTATTTTTTAATTGCAAATTTTAAAGTCTCTGCTCATCACCTATTAGACGTGAAGACTGCAACATAGTTTCTTTACTCCCATTACCTTGGTGGATCCCTCCAGTGTGTATCATTCTTGAGGAAAATTGTTGCATTCAACTTCTCATCAATGCAGAAGAGGCACTGATGAGCCTGAAGGGAACCATATTCAACTCCAGTTTTTTGGAAGAAGGGAACTCTCCCAAGATCTTGAAAATGATGAATGGGGGAGAGTGGTGAACAGATTACCTCATATCCCATTGCCAAAAGTCAGATTTCAACATCTCCATCACACTCAATTTTGAAATATATTGCTGGGGGGGGGAGGATAATAGTTAAGTAATTACATCCATATGACCAAAAAGTCACGGGAAATTCCCCCACTAAACATCTCCACTAAATGATAGCCATGGTGTTGTTGTCTTAGAAGAAGAAGATGAAATATTGCAGATGAAAGCAACAATAATATTCAAATTGCAATTTTTTCTAAGATTCAGAAGGTATAGTCATAGTTTGATGACATTTGCTAAACCAGTTGAGGCGAGCCTTGGATTTTAGGCAAGCCAATCTTTAACGTAGGCGAAATGGAGAGCTGTCTGCCTGATGTCAGCAGTCTTTTCCTGCCAAGAAGTCATTTTGCTTTCTCCGCCTGCTTCTGGATACCTGGAATTAAATTTATGCCAGTGTATATAAGATGAGTATTAGATCCTCTCCTTGAAACAAGTTTTGATAATAAATACGAAGAATTGGATGTCTAGGAGTAGTGGGAGGCAAACAAATGGAGAAAGGTTGAAGAAAAGGCAAATAATAAAGAAAAGTCTCCAACTTGTTAGTTTTGCCCAGATCAAGCCCTGGGTTAGAGACAGTATCTTGGAAAGTAGGAAGCATAGAAGTGTAATGGCAAACTAATTACTAATTTTGGTAGTTTAGTGAATTAGAATCTAATATAAAGAGTCAAGAAATTAGAGACCATTTTCTTCTACTACTTATGCTTATGTCTTTGTTTTAAATACTAACCAACTCTTTTTCATTCCCATGCTGCTCTGGGGCATTGTTCCCTTTGTCACCTCTCTCCCTTTAGGATGAGGAGGAGGGTATATGGGCATAGCCAATCAGATGGTCTTAGTTCAGCCATTTTGTTCAGAACGGTGAGAAACGGCTTTCCTTAACTATAGAAATGGGTTTTTTGTTTGTTTGCTTTCTTTTTTTTTTTTTCTTACACAATCATTCTCACATCTTGTTTCTCTGTAATTCATGAAATCCTGTGGTGTGCTTTCTGGTGTCTCATTTTCACATGATTCCTGTGTGTATTGCTGTGCTTCTGACTTAGTGGGGTTTGGGTTTTGTGGCTTTTTTTTTCTCGTTGTGTGTTAATAGTCACCTTTGTAATTTTTTTATACATTTTGGGAGAACTTCCAGGGCATATAACTAAATTTCTCATCTTGTGATTTTATTAATTAAGTACCTGATCTAGTATGATTTGACAGTGTCCTGATAAGGTTTATAGTGACTTACATCAAACTGGAAATAGAAAATTGACCGCATACTCTGCCATTAGATTTGGCATATACTTTTTAGGATAATTGAATATAAATAAATAGTCTTTTTTTACAAAGCAGACTGTGCTGTGAACTAAAACCTTTTGTTTCTATTTATAGAAGAACGCTCTGAATTCTCAGGTCAATAATTCTTACAGAGTGCCTACCAAGGAGATCCCTTAGGGCTTTGACATCACTCTCCAACTGTCCTTAAAAATAAGGAGGGGTAAAGAAATAAAGGAAGACTTTTCACAAAGTCAGTCTAAAGAATTCTTTCCCTCTCGTTTATGGATTGCTGCTGTGTTAAACAGCTGCCAGGACACTGTCTAGAGTCTCCTTTCCAGGCCAATTGGCTGGAAAACATAGTCCAGCTGTGGCAGTATCTTTGATCCAATGCCCTGGAGGTTTGACTAAGGAAATCCTTTTCTTAGGAAAAATAATAATTATGATTAATAAGTTCACACATATTGGTGGCCTTGCACTCCTGGATTCACTGCCCACGCTATGAGTGATCTCACTTTTGGAGTCAGTTCTCCTTGAAAAGTCTGTATCGTGGTGTTGTACTTCTTAAAATGAGGAGGACATGTGTAGACCTCTCACTAGCAAACACAGCCAAGCAGGATGAAGAGGTAAGTTGTGGAAAGGGGCATATACTGTCATGATGGGAAGCGTTCCAAATGACTTTATCCTCAGGGTGTGAAAGAAGGCAAAATGCACACTACCCACCAAAAAGCTCTTTGGTTTAGAATGATGCATGCCAGACAAAGCTAAAGGTGAGAAAATTAGTGTACTAATTCTCTTTATCCGTACTACACCCTACAAGAGGAATGATTTGTCACCGTGAAGCATGCGGGGCCATACGGTAGCTGCTTGTAGTTCACCAGGCTCCTCCTTGTAAATGAACCTGCCTTTTCTATTTTAGTGGAACATGACATGCCTCAGCAGAAAGCAGCTCCCCCACACACAGAGCGTGCACAGGACTCTATTGTGGTGTCCACTCCTTTTCCTATCCATTCAAAAGAAACATGTTAGTGTTATTGGAAACAAGGCCCATAGGTAACTTTATCAGGAGACTGAAAAATGAGCAAACCTTCACAAAGATTTGTTCCTGAAGTTTCCATTTTCCTTTCTCTTCTCTCATAGAATAACTCCTATCAAAAGTTCAAATGCTACTGATTTTGTTTTTTTCAATTATTGCACTATTGATCTTACTGCATCAAATATTGCCATTGGTTTAATACATTGTAGATTTTTTGTTTTGTTTTGTCTCTTAAAGTTGCAAAAAAAGGAGTTTATTAGAAGTAAAAATACATTTCAAAGAAGCAGAAGCGGGCTGCACAGTAGAGATGGCTCAAGGGCCATTATTAGAAAAGAAAGTACACTCCAAAGAGTTTGGAGCCGCCCCCCTAGCAGAAGCAAGGCTCAAAATGATACATTGTAGTTTTAATGAGCTGGCCATAGCTGGAGTTTAGAAACTCCAGCTATAGATGATATGGTATTCCAAATTTTATAAAATGTGTTATAAAGAGCATTCTATCACAAGGGTTGTACCTAAAGAAATGCATGAGTGGTCCCTAAAACACTGCAGAAGTCTTGACTTGCTATCTAGTTTCCTTCACTTGTTTCCATGCTAATTCTACAGAGAACAAATTTTCTTAAAACTTAGAACTTTTGAAATTAATGGTTTACCTTTTCAAACTTAAGAACATAAATACATGGCTTTTCTATAGGCTGAGGGGCGAGAAAAGGGACTCTCGTTTCTAAATGGAAGTAATACTTGCTTCATTCTGTGTGTCTTAGGAATGTTGCTTGACAGCAGATTCTTTCAAAGAAAGTTTCAATGGCTAAATTTCTCTCATAGGGTATTTCTTTATAAAACTCAAGGTGTTTTCCCAAGGGAACAAATTCCTCAACATATAGGAGATGAATTTGAATTGAGTTTTCTTCTTTCTTGTTTTTCCCTTACAGGATGTAGGCCCCCATGAGGCCAGGAACTTAAACATGTTGACTTTTGTATTTCCATCATCTACTGGTATACAGTAGGCCCTCAGTAAATATATAGAGAATTAACTAATGAATTCCTGCAATTTGAAGAAGAAATAGTGAAGTTTACATTGAAACCAACAGCATAGAATTAGCTGTTAGCTTTTATTAGCTTTAATATTAGCATTACTATTACAAGAAAGAGAAGTTTTGAAAGCAAAGCTAATGTCTAAAAACAAAAGACCTGTAGAGAAATGCTGAGAATTTAAAGTAAAGTCATAATTAAGTCATAGAAAAAATACCTTCAAGGTCCATCCATGTTTTCACAAATGGTAGGATTTCCTTCGTTTTTGTGGCTGAATAATATTCCATTGTGTGTATTTACCACATTTTTTTAATCTGTTCCTCCATCGATGGACACAGAGGTTGTTTTCATGTCCTGGCTATTATAAATTATGCTGCAGTGAACATAGGGGTGCAGATAGCTTTTTGAGATAGTGATTTTGTTTCCTTTAGATATATCCCTAGAAGTGGCATTCCTGGGTCATAAGGTAGCTCTATTTTTACTTTTTGGAGGAACCTCCATACTGTTTTCCATAGTGGCTGCATCAGTTTACATTTCTACCAACAGTACACAGGGTTCCCTTTTCTTCATCCTCACCAACGCTTACCTCTTGTCTCTTTTTTTTTTTTTAAGATTTTTTTTTTTGTTGGGTAATTGGGAGATGGGAACAGCACTGGGGAATTGGGGGAAGGGAACAGACAAGTTGCTGTCATTTTGTTCTTCAGTCTAGTTGTGGAGGACATTGCTTCACTGGCCCAAGTTGGCACCATCATTGCGCTCTTCCCGGGTGAGGCAGATCAGTCGCCGTCTTCTGGATGGCCGCTCACTGCGGCTGCTGACTGCTCACGCTGGCTGCTGGCTACACACGGTAGCCCATGGCAACCCACTGCCGCAGGGGCTGCAGCCTAGGCCGTCGCCAGCGACTCACGCAGCCCAGCTCTAGGTTGAGCTGTTGTTCAGCATCTTAGCTGTGGAGGGCAGTGTCACTGGCCCTCATATGTGGGATCCGAACC